ATAATCTTAAAACTTACCTTGAAAATATAATGACTATTTTTTCATAAAATTCTTAAACTCGCTCGTTTATTATTCATTAAAAATATATCTTACTATTAAAAACAATAATAGATATATATTTTTTGAAATAAATTTATTGAAATAGTTTCGTTCTTTCTACACATTACTTATTAATAAGAAGAGTATTAAGATGAAACAAATGTAATACTTTACTGAAAAATGAAAATTATGGGTCATTTTATAAAAAATTGATATGATTAAAACTGTGATTATTTGGAAATTAAGAGAATATTTATCAATTGCGATTTTGGTTTATGTTATAACGTCTATTTTCAGTAAGACTGAAATATTTGGGTGGAAGGATTATAATTTATAACAGTGTGAAAAAAAAGTAACCATTGTAGAAAGCATTAAATAAATAAAACTAATTTCTTCTTCTCTACCAATTATGAAATATTATTTTTGAATCTGATTTAAGAGATCGATTCAATGAAATTAAGAAATAAACTAACAAAAGTTTCCTGTTAATTGAATCACTGAAAATGTGACTAATTCTGAAAATTTGCTACGAATAAGACGCCAGCCAGTAATAGAATCTATAGATTATGAAATTTTGGTAGGCTGTTCCAAACAAACTTAAACATGTCATTATTATATACACAACTCAACAAAAGTTTCTAAATTAAGCATTTCTTAATGATAGAAGGGGTTGGATTTTTTTTTTCAGTAATTAGTACAAAGCATGTTTTCAATTTAAATAAATAAAAAAAACAAAAGAGTTAAAAATAAGAGAAAACAAAAAGCAAAACTTTTTTTGGAAACGATTTCCGCAACTTGTCCCAAACACGTATTTCTAATTTATTTTTTATTATAATTATACAATTATCATCATTTGTAATATTTTTTTATTTAATTATACATTAAAATTAGTTTTAAACTGCAAAATCAACTTATATATTAATGATCCATATATTTTTGAATAATTTTTTTGCAATATTATTTTAATTTTTTTTATATATTTTTTTTATCAACAATGTTAATTTTCTAGATTAAAAAACAGTTTGACTGTTAATAGAATACTTCACTGGATTATAATATATTTTTTTCTAGATTTTATTTCTACCGCATAAAGTCCAGACAATTGGAAATAACACGTGAAAGAAAATTAAAATAATATAATATTATAATTATTTATTTATGAAGCTCTAGAAATGTGTATGGCCAAAGTGTTAATATTACAAGTGCACATGCATCCAAAAGGCCACGTATATACACAGTACATAGACATAGATCGGGAACAACTCAGGATATATATTTTTCCTCTAATTACGCTCGTACAATGTTTGGTTTTTGTGTTGGAAAATCTTAATCACTTTGGGTATATTCGTTTGTTTTCAGTATTTTAATTACACCTACCAGATTCTGCAACGAAAAATTGACGTGCTATTAACCATATATAGGAATCCAATAAAGTGTAACATTCATATAATTTATTTTGACTTTTAGAATTTTAGAATCCAATAAAATTGACTTTTAGAATATGTTATAAAAAAAAGTAAAATTTTGGAAAATGATTACATAGTTTATTTAATTCATATAAATTCTGTCATTGTTGCTTTTTTATTTATTTTCAAAATATATTTTATATAAGATAAGGCATTATTTACTTGTTGCACTTCAGTTTACACTTTTTGAAATAACTAATTGTTTTAAAATAATAAGAGCACGAAAATATAAAATATGTCTTTTATTCTGCATATTCATTCATGCATGACGTAGTCCAAAATAATTCTCTAATTATTTGGTATCTTTAGGATAAGATCGGTTGTAATCATGTGTTACGAATGTTATAAAAAGACAAGGGATATTCCATTAAAGATAATATACAATAATGGTTTGATAAACTAATTAATGTTTTGAAAATATAAGTTCAAACAACTTCAATAATCTAATGTAGAACATGTAGGACATAATTATGGTCTTACACATCCCCAGATATATTATCATAAATATACAATTTAAATACATTAATAATTTAAAATATAAATTATATATATATATATATATATATATATATATATATATATTGTTACAATAAGTTTATTAAACTTTAATGTTAGAATTATATGATGTTATATAAACATATAATCATTATAGTTTAAATTAACACCCAATGATCTTATATAAATATATAATCATCATAACTTAAAATAATATCCAAAATATATATGACAAATTATAAATTCAATTAAATAGGTAAAGTTTAAATATAATATAGAGTGATATGATTAAAATCTAAATTTGTATATATCATTAATTTATGTTATACATGAAAATCATATCATGTCATATTCATATTATACAAATATTAAATATTTTTCAAAATACAAATCATTAGAAGTGCATGATAACAACTCATAAATAAAACTTAAAAAAATAAATTATTGTAAAAAAATATTGAGCAACTAAACTAGACATATAGAAGATAAATGTTATATACAAGAGAATATAAAATACTAAATAGAATCATTGTTTTAAAAAAATAGTTATATATAAATATACATTTTTAATATTCTTGTCAAGATGGAGTGTATATCTATTAATATACTTATATTGAATAAATTCTCATGAAAATAGGTTGGATAAAGAGATTTTGTGAGCATATATGTAATTTGATGTTTAGATAGAACATGAAAAATAATAAGAAAGCCTTCAAGAACTTTGTTCGAATGAAATAACAATCTATTGTGTTCGTGAATGAAGGATTTTTTGCTTGTTGAATTGTGGATTGATTGTCACAAAAAATCGGGAAGGACATAGTATGGTTAAGTGTAGATCATGTGCTATGTATCTTACTTAACCTTTATATTTCACAAGCCAGGGAGGTTAATACCCTGTATTAAGCTTTGGTGGAGCTCCTTAAGACTGTATTTTGTTTCTTTGACTTTCGTGAGATTAAACAGCGGCCATAAAATACACAATAATCAGTAACAAACTTTCTTGTATATTTTATATATATAGCCTAATTAAAGTTAGAATAAGTCTGCATTCGATTAGGATTGTTTGCATGATAGAAGAGACCTCGATGATGAACATTTTTGAGATATTTAAGTATGCAGGATGCAACATTTAACTAGGGCAATGGTGGATGAATTGATATGATTAGACTTTCGAATGCCCGAAGGAAAAACTAATACGCCAGTAACAAGTTTCAATAGGTTGATTGGTTTTTTTACAATTCTCACAATCGAAGAGAAGATTTAACAACAATAAAAGACTTCATAACAGTATTAAAGACACTATAATCTTAAGATGATATGTTTGAAGAAATGTCAAAAAGGTCTTGTTCATGTTGAAAAATGAGAGAAAAACTCTTAACAAAAGAAAGTAAAAGATCCATTAACATTATTTGTGATCAAATATGAGAATAACTATCAGTTAATCCACAAAGTAATTGTCTTCATTTTCCTTTTGAAAAGATCTTTTTATATCTCATATGATGTTTTTATCCACATAATTGATATCTCATATGTTATTTTTATCCACGTAACATACTATTTTACCGTCGAAGTCATAATACTTATAAGCTAAGAGATGATCATACAATTATCTGTGTCACTATGCATTGTCGAGAGAATATGAAAATGGAGGATAAAGAAATTTGTTTGATATGAATTTTTCTTTATTCTTTATTTCTAAAACTACCACATTCCCACTAATAATAATTTGAATTATTGAGAAGCACAATTACCAAAACGACAAATGAACTTTATCAAACTGTAAAAACAAAAAATTAAACGGACGGATGAGATTATCTGAAATTTGGTTAAGAGAAAAATTTTGACTAATAAAAGTTATAATTAATCAAATAAAAAAATATTCACCAAATATTTAATATGATATTTTATTAGAAAATAACAGTTCATAAAGAAAATTAAAAAATCTTAAAAAAGGAAATATTCATCAACTCAACTAGATATTATATAGAAGAAAACATAAAACAGTAAACAAAATAACTCAAAAACAGTTATATACAACTATAGATCTTTAATACAAATTAATGTTCAAAACTGTGCATTTATTACGTTACAACAATATTTATTTTAAAAGTCCAAAGTATTGATCCTTTCAAATTTATCTTCACCAGTTTTTATTATTAATATTTTTAAAACGAAAATTAAATCTCTTTAGCAAAAAGTTAGCAAGTGGATTAATGATAATTTAATTCTAATAACAAAGTTAAGCGTTACATAGATAGGGTGAAGTCAATACCTACGACAGCGTGTTAAGTACAAGTGACGTATATTACAGGGGCGTAGGTGTTTGTGTTTCTTCCCCGTCACATCATCTTCTCACACGTACAAACATTTTGTTTGTATAGTTTTTTATAATTTTTAAGTTATTTCATGAAAATAGAGAAGGAACTATAATTTTGAAAATAAAGTCATAAAATGAAAAATATAAAATTTTAATGATAAGAGTATGTTATGTTAAAAAATAAATAAAGTTTTAATGATAAGAGTATGTTATGTTAAAAATTTTAATTATTCTTAGGTGTTTTAAAGTCGGACAATGGTCACGCCAGAATGCGGTGTCTAGCTGATCAAAGAAGGTGAAAGGATTAAGTTGAATCCTGCCTCGTGTGTGATTAATCAACTGGACTTATTTCTTAGAAAAAAATGAAATTTCAAATAATATTATCTAAAAAGGTAGAGATAAAAGCTGTAATAATTTAATATTTTCATAAATAAAATAAAAATAAAGGATAACCATCGTCACGTGGCAATAAGATGAGATGTCCCACCACTATAATATCCGTGGAACAACGAAGATTAAAGCTGAAATTGAGTGACAATTAAGAAATGAAGGCTGAATCAATTATAAATAGAAGAAGTGAAACACAAATTGGATTTGTACATCAAACTAAAGCTTCGTGGCACCATTAGCAGCTCTACTATCACAACACAGCCTTCTTCCCTTCCACACCGCAATTACAACCAATGGGGGACACTTACGTTTTGGCCACTCAGAAACGCATCCGTCCCGATGAAACCCACGGTGGCGATGCCAAGAAGATCATGCTGCATGAAGAGGCGGATCCTGCTGCGGCGCTAGCCAGCGCGCGGCACGAGTTTGGGGAGCACGGCGGCGTTAACATGTCGATCGAGGCGTCTGCAACCTTCACGGTGATGGAGCCGGAGACTATGCGCCGCATGTTCGCCGGCGAGCTGGGTCCCGATCGAGACTTCTTTGTCTACAGCCGTCACTTCAACCCGACGGTGCTGAACCTGAGCCGCCTTATGGCCGCGCTAGAGGGTACCGAGGCGGCGTACTGCACCGCAAGTGGGATGTCGGCGATCGTGGCTGCGCTGCTGCAGCTGTGCAGCAGCGGGGAACATGTTGTGGCGTCGAGAACACTGTACGGTGGGACTCACGCGCTGCTGTCGCACTTCCTCCCGCGCACATGCGGGATAACGACGAGTTTCGTGGAGGTGACGGATCTGGACATGGTGGATAGTGCGATGGTGGAGGGGAAGACGAAGGTGCTTTACTTCGAGTCGATCTGCAACCCTACGCTGACGGTGGCGAACATACCGGAGCTGTGCCGTTTGGCGCGACGGAAGGGGGTGACAGTGGTGGTGGACAACACGTTTGCCCCCATGGTGCTTTCGCCAGCGCGTCTCGGTGCTGATGTTGTGGTTCACAGTATCTCCAAGTTCATCAGCGGTGGGGCCGATATCATCGCAGGTATCTTTGTCGTCTTTTCTTCCACATTCTCATTTTCAGTTCTTCCTTATTCATCAGTTAATTAATTAATAGTAGATTTATCACCATATTTTACACTATTTTTTTTTAAGAAGGAAAAAAAAAGTATATGTTGAATACATGAAAGACAGTTAGGAATCTTCCCATCAAATAAAGAAAGAGATAAAAATATATAAATATAATAAATGAAGAGATAAAATTATATAAATATAATAAATGAAGAGATAAAAATATATAAATATGATAAATGAAGGACAGAAGTTATCATTTATATCACATGAAAAAATAAAGGAGGTAAGAGAAACATAAAAAGAAAATAAAGAAATAGAGAAAAATTTATATTTATTTTAAATTATGTATTGAAAAATAAATATAAAAAGTAAAAAAAAAAAGTTGATAAAGATTAGGTAAAAGAACAATTAGGCGTATATGCAAAATATTATCTTAAAAAAGATGATTGTGATATGTGGTAGATTAATTTATTAGAAGTATGTTTAGGGGGATTGGTTTAAAATAAAATATTCATAACAAAACATATTTTTTTTAATGGATCACGAATCCACAAAGGACAAGTCCTCGAGTTTATCCTGATAACGATGTCCATCGCACATGTTGAACTATCAGTACTACTCCTAATATTCATACAAAATAATATTTTGCATTTCGTGGGGCCCCTGAGATAAAAATTAATATTATTTTCAGGCATGTTTATAAGGTTACTTTGGACACACTTTAGTTTAAGATTAAAATTTTAACTCGTTTATTTATCTTGACTCATGTCAATGTAAGATTGAGTTAATCTGATCTGTTAAATAATATTTAAATCTTATTAAAATAATTATTTTGTTTATTATATGCTTTAACACAGTATATTCAATTATTCATATTATTCCAAAACTATAATAACTCTCCGGTGAAGGTAGCAACAATTGTAAAAGAAGTAGAAAGAAGAAAAAGGAAGACGAGGTGTGAAAAAAAAAAAAGGAAAAGATGAAAATTATGCTTCCTAACTTTTTGTTTTCTTTTCTTTATAAATAAAAACAAAACACGATATGACTACATAGTAGAATTAAGATGGAAAGAAGATTTGAAAAATACTTAACGCTTAATCAGCTGGTGAGAGTATGACACGACTATGTGAGAATAACTTTTTATAACATATAATATTGTAATCTGTCATTACTCGAAGCTCTTTTCCAGTGGCGTTGGAAAGAAAGTTGTAGGTGGAGTCCTTACAATTTATTTTCTTGACATCAATATTGCCTAGTTTTTTTATTTTTTAAACTGAATTCCGCATATAATACAATTGTTTTTCATTCATTATGCATGTTGTTATATTTTTTAATGTTTTTGTTCGTGAATCGGAATTTATTGATACAATACTTTTGTTCTACTTTTTCTTCATTGTTTTGTTTTAATTAATAAATAATACTTTTATTAAAATTTTTATTTAGTATGTAGTCATAAGAAATAGGTATATAATACACCAATCATTTTAAAACTGAGTATATTAAATGGAATATCCCTTTTTGAACGATGTGATACCAATTTCCCTAGTGACCTCGGTACCACGTGTCCCTGACTACTTCTGTTCCCTTCTTTTCGACATGTAACACGTGTTACTTTGCTTTTAAAAGCTTTAGTTTTTTCAGCCTAAAAAATAAATAAAAAACTTCTTTTAATTTTCATAAAATTTATATATTTTTGCTCTTATTCACATAAAAAATATATAATAAATAATTATTGCTTATTTCACACGGATTTGACCCCTCTCACTTTTTACACGTCGTTTCTTGCTATTATCTTTGCCCACGGTCATTTTTTTTTTTTTCACAAAATTTATGATAAAAAACTGCACTTGGTATAATCTATAAGTACAACACCTAAAACACCACAAGTTATAAACTTAGTAGTAGTGTATCAAAAGGAGGATGCGAGAGAAACATTTGCATATTCTATCAAAAGACCAAATTGTAAGGAAAAAAAAAATGTATTTGATTTGAAAATGGTCATGATTGAGAACTTGACAGGGGCCGTGTGCGGGCCCGCAAGCCTGGTGAACGCGATGATGGACCTGCAACAGGGGGCCTTAATGCTGTTGGGCCCAACGATGAACCCAAAGGTGGCATTCGAACTTTCGGAGAGAATCCCGCACCTGGGGCTAAGAATGAAGGAGCACAGTCACCGGTCGTTAGTGTTCGCAAGGAGGCTGAAAAGCCTGGGCCTGAGAGTGATCTACCCGGGCCTGGAGGAGCACCCGCAGCACGAGTTGCTGAAGTCGATGCACAACGCGGAGTACGGGTACGGCGGGCTTATCTGCGTAGATATGGAGACGGAGGAGAGGGCGAACCGGTTGATGAACCACTTGCAGAACTATGGACAGTTCGGGTTCATGGCGGTGAGCTTAGGGTACTACGAGACTCTCATGTCTTGCTCTGGAAGTAGCACCAGCAGCGAGTTGAGCTCCGAGGAGAAGAAGCTCGCCGGAATTTCACCTGGGCTTGTCCGAATGTCCATTGGGTACATTGGCACCTTGGAGCAGAAGTGGGCCCAGCTCGACAAGGCCCTCTCTAGACTTCAGGAACCTCTCTACAAGAATTGAATCCCCTTAGTGACTTTCCCATGCTTCAAATAATAATCATCGTTATTATCTTCTATAAGAAGTGAACATGTATTAGCACTTTTCTGTTCTCTCTGATGGATATAATTATTAAGTTAATATGCATTATTAATGTATGTGAGTGAATCTTTAACTTTTGAAGGCCAAATTGGAGAAAACCAAACAAATGGTAATGCAATTGGAGGGGTGAGAATAGCAACTTGTGTACGTGGTATACAATAAAAAGGTTTGGGCTTGAGTTGTGGCTTTATATAAAAAGAGTTTTTAAAATAAAGAGGGAGTTTAGGGTAAAGGGAGGTGCAACTAGGAATATGAGAGGCAGATGCTTCAACTTTTTTTCCAAACGGTTATTTAACCATATCCTTTTTCTCTTTTTTTTTTTTTTTTTTTTCAAATAAAATCGTTATTTTTTTTTATTTGTCTCATATGAAATAGTTTTATTTCTTAAGTAGGTTGATCTTGTTATAATGTCGGTAGGTGTGAAATGGATAATAATCTTGAACATTGGAATAGTTGTTATAATGTCACAATTTATGTATGGTTGAATTGATTAATACTAAATCTTATTAGATTATAAAATAAAATCATCAAAACTTCTCTAACGCAAGAAACTTAAATAGTTGTTTAACACAAAAAAGAGAGAGAAAAGTATCTGAAAATAAAATTGTTAGAGTTAATCTAGTGATAATGAGAGTTCTTAAAGAATCTTGCTTACAAAAAATAGAAACAATTGAAAAAAATTAGCTACGGAAAATATTTTGCTTAAATATTCTTGACTATTTTAGAAACCAATCTCTCAAATTATATATATTAAAACATAAATAAATTAGGAAGAAAAAAAAAACCTTTACACGTGTTAAAATTAGTTTATGCATCAATAATTTATACATTTTTTTTAACTTGTTTATAATCTAATTTTGATTTATAAAAAATAATTTAATATTTTTCATTTATTTTTATATATGTTCTTTTTTGAGAAAATTTCGTCCAAACATTTATATTTACTAGTTATTTTTTTCTTCTTAGTTTTCCTTTCTTAACTAAACACATTCTTTAAGTTTTAGGTACCTGTGGATTAGTTAAAAGTTAAAAAAAAAAAATTACTACAATAATGTTATGTTTTTTTTAGCTAAGATATTAAGTTTTCGATTTATTTTTAAAATTTGCACGTTGTTATCATTTTAGTCATTTAATATATGGGATATAATTTTTAAATTTACGGAATGTTTGATTCATTGTGAATCATGTGCCAATATATAATTAATTGGAGGTATGAATATTCTAATCACATGATTCACGTACATATACCTAACAACATATTTGACTGGTTGATCGAATTTACAGGTTTCTAAATTTTGATTATTTCAATTTTCAAATTAGTTAATTTGTTACTTTAAACCAAACACACCAAACCTATTTTTACTTCGTAAAGAAAAATAATTATATGAATATAAAGTTGATACACTCCTTTTTTATATTTTATATATAAGATTATTTGATTCATATTTCATAAATTAAAAAATAATCAACGAATGAAGAGAATTTTGGACTAGAGATGTGAAAATGAGTTTAATTGTATAGATCAGATTAAAAAGTTTTTAAAGAAGTAACGATTTTATAGCTCAACAATTCAATTTTTCACGTGTATATTTTTTTAAGATAAATAATTTTTTTAAGATTAACCACCTTATTATTTATATATATTTTTTTGTTTAGAGTAGAAAATTATAATATTTATTAATTCCCACAAGTATGTCCCGATCTTATATATGCTATGATTACATCGTTAGGATTAATTTCTATCGGTGGGTTGAGAGATGATGATGGAGTGGATATTAATTACCCTTAAACTTAAGTCCTAAGTGATGTAAGACTTATGAGCGTGCTATAATATGTTAGGCTCTATTTCTACATCCGAGGTATTATCTACTTTAGAATTCTCATATGTCACAATTTTGTCCTCAAAATACACTTTGGTGGGTTGAGAGATGATGATATATATAAATTATCCTTGATCTCCAATTATAAGTGATGTGAGACTCATGAACATACCAGAACAATAGAATTTATACTAAACTTAAAATATATTCATATTGATTCTTGATTTTGATTTTTAATATGAATTCAATTCAAGCTAGTGGTGGCCGTTGGTGGGAGGTGAAGGAGCTATGGTTCCCAAAGTTTTGTAATTTATATCAGTATTTATAATTTTAGTTCCTCAAACTTATCATTATTAAATATATTTATTTGTATATTTACAAATTTAAACTCTTATCCTTTAATATTTTTTATATTTTCATATTCATTTATTATTTATTAATAATATATTATTTAATCCTCTCAATATCATTGGTCAAAATTTGGTTCAAACATGAAAGTGTAGGAAATATAAATGTGTGAGAAAAGTAAATCATTAATGATAAAACTAGAGGTGTCAAAATAGACTTAACCCAATGGACCCGCCGAAAGGTTCAAGAAATAAGTCAGACTAGGCCAAAAATATTGTGCCCCAAATTGAATCAAACCTATTTTGACCTGATTTATTTAGGTAATGACCTATATAAACTTAAGAGAGACTAGCTCATACACTTATAGGTAGTCCTATTTTATAAAATAATAATTATTTTTTAAATAAAAAAAATATTATTTTATTAAAAAATATATGTATTATAAATTATGTTGACATAAATTCACTTATTGTAAAAAATATATTATAATAAATCTCTAATAATAACTTATTTTAAGATTTAATGATTAAGATTAATTATTATTTAAATTAATAAATTACTAAAATTAAATAATGATAATAAAGAGTAATTTTTTAATTCTTATTTTAAGATTTATTTGATGCATCTCTAATAATTTATATATTAAATAATTATATATTAAACAAAAACTAATTTCATTAATAAAATATAATTTTTCAAAATATATTGTTTTTTTTAATTTTTATTTAAATATTTTTTTAATTAATTGATTATATATATATATATATATATATATATATATATATATATATATATATATATATAATTGAGATACAGAGAGTAATTCAAAATATAAATTCCTTATCCATAAGGAAATATATACATACATATCTATCACTTTGAAAATAAACAAAATATAATGTATACTATTTCTAGCTCCATACTTACTTTTACTAAGGTCTATCACTTGTAAAAATTGCTCCTGTGTAAACACATGATCATCGCAGTTAAAACACACATAGGGTAAGCTATTAATTCATTTTAAGTATGCAAGATTCAAATGTGAGATAAAACAATATAATGCAACTTCAAGTTTTAATATATCACATCACACGCTCATACATGCTCACATTCATGTCACACAGACACTAGACAATTCCGAAAGACTATATATTAAAATAGACATAAGAGATCTGCATTTGTCAAATCCCCAAGTGCATAATACAAGGGTGCTCAATTCGGTATATACACTCACATGTGACCAAGGTAAATTTTTAAATGACTTATTAGACACAGATCTTTTTCACAACGCATGCTAAGTCATTAAAAACCTCTTTCAACTCTCACCACCTGATCCTTTCATCTATGTGATTCCAGTGATCAATAGAGTCAGGATATCTCATCGAGTCTCAAATCAATATTTATACATGTAACATTACACATATAAGAATACTCCTAGGTAATTCTAATATCACAATACATATTTCAAGGCACATAATAGCATTTAACATGTGACGTCCCTTTTTATTACGTTGTTAATTTAACCATATTTTAAGATATTACTACTTTCTATTAAATATTGACAAAAGTAAGACATGAGATAAATGATTATACATTTATATTTACAAATATGTGAACTTTACAAGTTTACATTGTTTTTTATCAGAAACAATTATTAAAATTGACAAAAATTTTCTTCTAATAGTGGTTGATTTATCAATGCTACATGGCTTCCATCTTGATGTCTCATATTATTTGCCTTCTTGAATTATACATGTTAGGATTCATAAGATCTCATGATAGACTTGTTTCTCTCGGTCACACATGAAACCCGACTCGATACCATCTAATGTAACATCTCTCTCTATATATATATAATCTTTACAGGGGTGACATGTGACATAAAAATATTTTATATATAAGAGTAATTTACATTAATAATTTTTTTATACAAAACATATAAAAGAATAAGGAATTTTACTTATTTTTTTATTCCTTCTATTCTTAATGTGATTATACAAATATTTACATCTTTGGTGGGAATAAACTGATTAAAGAATTTTAGTGAATGGTAGGAGACATACAGAAAGTAATCATTATTGGTCGAGTCTAATATGATGAGAGTTTTCATGTAATGTAATCCAATTGTAAAAAATGTTTATGTTCCAAGTAGTTTCCATAAAGAAGGCGATGATGTTTGTGAAAAAAAGGATTTGAGATATTTGACGTCTCCATCTACTTAAGTTGATATTTAAGTATAACATGCACAAGAGATCAGAATATGGAGTAAGTACAATTATCATTTAAAATAATACAATCTCATGATGATATATAAAATATATTTTTCAACTTCCTAAACATACTTCATTTATTTCATATTATGAACATTTAAATTAAATTTGTAGTGACTAATCAAGATAAATGAACCCAATTTTAATCACTCTCAAAATTATATCTACTCATCTTAATCCTCAAATCTCCATCTACAATATCATCAAATCTTCATAAATAGATATTGTTATTTAAAAATAATAAAATAATATAGATATGAATTAATAAATAAAGACTAGTGCATAACTAAAAATAAATAAAATATAACAAGTAACTAGATAAAAATAGATAAATATAAAATAAGATCAATGCATAATCGAAGATAAATAAATATAAAACAGACCAGATACATAGTTGAAGATATATAAATAAACATAAAGTAGAACCAAGAAATAGCTAAAGGACTAGAAATAAAATACATAAATATAACAACCAATAAATGAC